TTTCGGTAATTAGGACAACTTGTATAGACTTTCCTGACATTTTGTGAAAGGACTAAAAAAAAAAAAAAGGAAAAATGGAATGAAAATATGTGTTTATTTTGTTGCAAAAGAAATTGAAATCCACACACAGTTTCATAATGCTTATTTTCCGTGAGTATTCTGAAGATCACTTCTATGTATTGTCCCAGTTTATTGGGCTTCTACTATATCATTGAAAGATTGCATTATAAAATACAAATTACTGTAAGAAAGCCACTGCTAAGTTAGTGGTCAGCAACTGCAATGATGTCTTGATTTATCCTATATCAGAGTTATGTTCTTATTAAGTGGCAATTCAATTACTAGTTCTATGCATTGCAAAAATGCCACCACTAATAGAATTATAGACACACAAGGTTACAGGGAACAACTGGAATTCACTTGGAATGATCATCTCTTACAAACCTGTTTAATTCTTTTTTGGCTCCATACTAATGATTTAAGAAAAAGAATGGGGGTAGGAAGAGAGAGTTCTTTCCTTCCTTCCATGGCTTCCATTGCACAAATCAGAAATTAGGACTCATGGAGTAACAGTTCTAGGAAATGCTTAGAGTTGAGAGAATAGTTTATTATTTATATTAAGTTGTCTAAAGATTTTTGTGCAAAGAAACTATGAAAACATCTTTTGTTCACCAGACTAAATCTTTATAAGCCACTGTTTTGTAATCTTTTTTTGCTGAACAACTTTCTGAAGTTTATTAAATTGAGACTTTTGTCTTTTTTATTTATAGCACACTCAAGTGTCTGTATAAATCTCTGGAATGTTGAAGGAGTGACATTCCACAAACTTCAGATTTTCTTTTTTCCTGTTGTCCATTGTTAAGAGGAAACTAGTAAATAAGGAATATTTGATTCTTTCTCCTCTCTTTGCCTTCCTTTTGGAGTTCTCTCACAGAGTAAAGAATTGCCTTTTTCTGGATGGATTATCAAAAAGGAAATTTACTGTTCTAAGATATTTTCTGATATTAATTGATGATTGGTTAATAGAGCTAGCATTAATATTGGGTCATCAGAAAAGTCATGATGTATTTTTCTGTTATTCTGTGTAAAAAATGCATCATGACTTTTCCAATGACCCAATATTAATGCTAGCTCTGTTAATAGTAAAGCACTATTATTTTGTTAGATTTTTACATGGCCTGGCACTCTTATCAGTGAAAAATTAATAATAAAAAAAAAGAATTCAGAGTAATCTAGATTTAAAGCCAAATTTGTACTCTAAGTTACAATTGTCAAAGGTGTTTATTTTTTTAATATTTTAGAATATGGAGATGCAGATAACTTTGTAGGATCTGTCACATTAACTTCTTTAATGTTAGATTCTTAAATCATTTGGGGGGACTTCTGGAATATGTTATTTAATTATCACCCAGTCGTTCTTCCATGGAGACACAGCAGTCAATCCTGGGCTTGAAAGAGCTACAGATAAGAGCCAGTTCACTACTTGGATGAGTTCCACCATACCCTTAGAGATGGCTAGATTTTATAGTTTTGTAATACCTTTAAAAATAAAATTCTGCTTGAGGAAAAAAAATCAATGAGAATTATTAACAAAAAATGTATTTTTAGAGCAAAGTGAACTAAATTGTGACAGAGAACTTCTTAAGCTGGCTGTTGAACAGGACCAAATCACACTTTAAAAAAATTTTTTTAAGGCGTTTGCCACAGGGCATTTGCCAGAAAGAAAGTGAGAAATCACCCCTCGAGAGGGATGGCCATGCCACAGTCCCTTCTCCTCCATTTTCCTGAAATTTGGGGCATGCACATACATGTACCCAATGTAAATTTCAAGTCGCTGGGCCTGGGACGTGAACTGTGGTCAACCATGTGAGAGTCCAGTGCCTCAACTACCACATCACTATCTGACCCTCCAAATCATACATTTTAAAAATAAATGTGAATCTATTTTGAATGACATGGCTTTGGACAGAAAAATATGTCTGCAGAGTCTAGGGAGGACTGCCCATACTGTGTACAGTGCTATTTTTTTCTTCTTGACTTGTTTTCCTGGTCGTTTGCTTCCTGATAGGCAATTGGCTTTGGGTAACATATTGGAGGATTCAGTAGTGATGTACGTGATTTTTGAGAATATTAAAAAGAACATTGAACAGATATTGGCAGCCTTGTAATTGTATATGTTATTTCTTTATTTACTTTCAGTTTGATTAATAAGCTTAAACCTGGCATCATTAAGAAGATCAATAGACTGTCCACACCAATAGCAGGTTTGGTAAGTAATAAATTATCTTCAAAAGTAGATTTCTTTGTCTTTGAAATGTAAAAAAGGTGATCACAGGCAGGTTCTCTTTACTGCAATTACCATGAAAATTTCGAGGTTTGTGCTCAAGAAGAGTGTTTTTAGTGATAGCCTCCTTATATCTTTAAACCTTTTCTATTTCTCTTCTGCTGGGAGTTTTTTTCTTTTCTTTCTTTCTTTTCTGTTTTGATTTTTGTGCCTGGAAACTTCATGTACCCCTTTCCTTGCCATATTTCTTTTACAAATGGTGTTTTTTAGGGTCACAAACACAGCCTCATAATACATTGCTGGCTGGCCACAGATCCCCAAACTGTCAGGCGTCTACCAGGTGGCCAGTTTCTGCTGCTTCATGTTTGTATATTTCCCTCTCTCAGGACACAGATCTTACGTGTATTTGCAAAAACTCAAGGCCTGCCAGCAGTTCTGCTTTACGTAATAGGTTTCTTATCAATGTCCTGTGTGATGGAAGTCAAGTCATTGTCTCTTCCTTCACCACAGTGGTAGTAATGTCCATTAAATGACTGTGATTCTCGATATTCCTTCTAGCTTTATATTCAGCATTGTATGTGTGAAAAATATCCCACTCTGTCATTATGACAGGCCCATTCTGATGGGTCAAGATGAGAGACCCAATCTGATGGGTGAGAGTGAGAGACCAATAATAACCTGGGGCTGTTCTTTGGATATAATTTATCACTAAAACATATGATGGATACTTTCAAAATGTTAGAAATTCTTAGCCAGTGAATGTCGATGATAGGAATCAGTTAAAGAAATTAATTCCACAAACATCATGTAAGTTTAATGTCACTAATAATTTTCAAACTGGGTTATCTTTGGAATATTTACAGTTTATAACACATTCAGGAAACTTTTGTTTGGCCATTCATATATTTATAAATGTTAAAGGCATGAATTATTAAAGATGTAGCAGTACCAAAATTTCTGGGTTTGCAGGAGGCATGAAAATCTCATTAAAGTATTGACAGGTATAAGTTGGTTGAGAGTGTTTATTATTGGAATGTGTGTTTCTAGGAGAGAAGGAATAAAAATTTGATAGTTTTCTTTAGAAACATAAAATATTCTTTGTCTATCATGAAAAGGCAGATGATGGATGAAATATTTTTATTGATCTCAAATTCAGTTAGGTAAAAAACTAATCATATTCTTCAAGTAATATAGTGGGTCAGAATTTATTTGTCATTTAAGGAATAAAATTAAGAAAATTTGGTTTTTGAAGTCCTTCTAGGATGAAACATCCAGTTTAATAAAACAAATAAGCTTTATATAAAAATGACTTATATAAAACTCTGTTAAAATTAAAAGTTGAATTGTATGAAGGTACTCTATCTTTTCAAATGGCTTGAGTTATTCACAGACAGTTTAATATTTTCTTTTTTTGGGGGGGGAGAGGTTTTTGCTATATGGCGCATGCGCTCTCCAGAAAGACAGAGAGACAGAAAGCAAGACCTCACTCCCAGGGGGGATGGCCACACCGCCTTCCCTTCTCCTTCATTCTGCTCTCGGGATCTTGGGCACTCATGCACACGCACTTGGCATGAGTTTAAGCCACTGGGTCTGGACTTGAAACGCGATCGACTACATGGGAGTCTACTGACATAGCCATTATGTCATCTGCTGGTCCCAATATTTTTATTTTGCATTGACATTTTTGGAATCAGTTACAGACATTGTACTTGTCAGAAGGTGCATGCACTTACTGGAGAGAGAAACAGAGAGAGAAAGTGAATAAGCACCCCCCCACCCCCCACCCCCGATATGGGACTTGGTCACACCACAATCCCTTCTCTTCCATCTCATCCTCCTTTTGGGATTTGGGCATGTACACATGTACTCAGCATGTTTCTCAAGTTACCAGCCCAGGATTTGAACCATGTGGTTAGCTCTGTAGGATCCAGCTGTGTCCACGGACTGACCTTTCATGCATTTTAAATGAAATTAGCCTTTGCCCTCAAACACCCTACGTATTTGGAATATTTGACTTGTGGTAATTTGTTGTTGTTTGAGGTTTTATTCAATTTTATGATTGTATGATTAGATAAAGGCACATATGTATTTTATTTTTAAATCCAAAGATTTCTCTTGAGTATTTCTGTTTAAAGCATCAGAAATTCTATCTAGTTTGGATTTTATCTCTAGAAACTAAAATAAAATGTATTTCCGGCATATTAGATTGTATGATTTTCCAAATATAGGACACTGAGCATTTTCGGTTAGATATAGGAGCGTGAGAGTGACTAGGGCTGCAGAACTGGGCTAAGCCCAACTGGTTTGGAGTTTTATCTTGTCTTATTTGACTCTGTATGATGCCTGTTTGTTAAGGTGGTTACAGCAAAACTTCTCAGAGCCTTAATCTCAAGTGTGAATTAGAGTTTAAGCACCCTAGCTGGAAGTGTGTTGCAAGGATTAAAGGGGTAATGTACAGATAGTCTTCCATATAAATATTCGATGCATGTTGTTGTTTTAACAAATAAGTGTAGGACCAGCAGTTGGCATAATGGCTACATTGCTGGACTCCCATGTAGTCGACCGTGATTTGAGTCCCGGACCCGGTGGCTTAAACTCACGTGTGGGTGCATGTGCCTGTGCGTGCGTGCCCACGATCCCGAGAGGAGAATGGAGGAGAAGGGATTGCAGTGTGGCCAGCCCCCCTGGGGGGTAATTTCTTTCTGTCTCTGTTTTTCTGATGAGCGCATGTGTCCTATAGCAAAAACCTCTCAAAAAATCAAACAAACAAAAACAAACAAACAAACAAAACACAAATAAATGAGTGCCTTCTGGGCAAACAATTCCTCCCAAACCTCCAGTTTCTAGGTATTTGTCGGAGGAAGAAAGACAGGGACAGATCTTGACCGCAAAAAGCTTATATTCTAGTGAGATAGTGGTACCAGGCAAAGAAATCAGCCATGAGCCAGAAAACACCACGTGACAAACGTGCTACAGAGATTTGCAGCAGACTATTACATTTATCAGACCCTGTAAGCCATTGACATGGGAATCTGATGATGGACCTGCATAAGAATGCCTCGAAATGGGTATGTAAGAAGCCTTGTTTTTTGATGCTTAGAGAAGAAACATGGATAATCTGAACCGTCCCTTTATTTTGCTAGTTTTTGTGGTTCATAGCATTCAACATAGTGACTGATACATGTTGATACTGAGATCAAAGATTTTTTTAGATGAAAGAACAAACAAGATTTCCACTGTGACAAATAATAGGTTCTAGAATTGGTCCTCTGATAGGATAGTTATTATAGGTTGAATTGTGATCCCCACCCCAACCCTCCGCCAAGATATACTGAAATCCTAAACTGAGTTTTCAGAGTGTGACCCTACTTGGGAATCAGGTTGTTGCAGATGATGGACTTGGTTAAGATGAGGTCATACTACGGTAGGGTAGACACCTAATCTGATAGGACTGGCGTCCGTATGGAAGAATGGCTGTGTGAAGATGGATACACACAGGAAGAACGCTACATGAAGAGGACTGGACTGATGTATCTACAAGCCAAAGAATACCAAAGAGTCCCAACAAACCCTCAGGAGCTAGAAAGATGCAAGGAAGATTCCCTCTACAGATTTCACAGGGAAAAGGGCTTTGTCAGTAACTTGGTTTTAGACATCCAGCTGCCAGAATGGTGAGACAATCAATTCTTATTTCTTTGTTTCAAGCCAGCTAGTTTTGGTACTTTGTTATGATAACCCTAGGAACTAATACAGAGAAGTAAATGTTTTAGTTAGTACTATTTTTTTTAAGTTTAACTTAAATATAGATTAACAGAAATTACAAAAAATTGTACAAGAGGTCATCTGGACCCCTTCATCCATATTCCAGCAGTGTACCATCTTGCCTACCTATAGTACAATATTAAACCAGGGAGTTGAGACCAGCAGTTGGCGTAATCGCTATGTCGCTTTACTCCCATGTAGTCGGCTGCTGTTCAAGTCCTGGACCTGGTGACTTAAACTCATGCTGGGCGCGTGTGCGTGCATGTCCAAGATCCCAAGAGGAGAATGGAGGAAAAGGGGATTGTGGTGTGGCCATCCCCCTAGGGGGTAATTTCTTGCCTTCTGTCTCTCTTTGTCTTTCTGGCAAGTGCATGTGCCCTATACAAAAACTTCTCCAAAAAAAAAAAAAAAAAGAAGAAGAAGAAACAAAACCAGGGAGTTGACATCAGTAAAATCCAAAGACCTTAAACACATGTAATCAGTTTAACATACAATAAATATTTTTTTTTCCCTAGTAGCAAAGCACAGAGATGCTTTCAGGTTAAGTCAGATAAAGATCATTTTATTTTAATGATTTATCACAGGACTGTCCCTTTAATCCAGTGTTTAGCCATAAACATAGCTGCATTCCACATAACTTTTTTTGTGCCACATTTTCAAGAGGAGACCTTTTTGGGTGTCTCTTAGTGGAGGTTCCTATGAGAGGAATTTGAATGAATCAGTTTATCATTTTTAATAAGGCCACAGATATCATAGGTCACTGGCCAACCAATGACTGAATCGTTAAGAAGACAATCATCTTGGCCAAATGGGCTGTGCTCAGGAATCTTGGTTCCTTTGGTGCGTGTAGTTTAGATGTGTGGATTAAAGTGGGTTCTGTGATGAAGGTTTGTGTAAAGGTAGAAACACCGAGGTAAGTCATACACAAGGGGACTTCAAAAAGTTGGTGGAAAAATGGAATTTAAAAGTTTATTTCGGGGGGACCAGCGGCTATGTCGCTGGACTCCCATGTAGCTGATCGCGGTTCGTGTCCCAGACCCGGTGGCTTAAAACTCACACCAGGCACGTGTGTGTGTGTGCCCAAGATCCCAAGAGGAGAATGAAGGTGAAGGGATTGCGGCATGGCCATCCCCCCTGGGGGGTGATTTCTCGCTTTCTGTCTCTCTGTCTCTCTCTGTCTGTCTGGCGAGCACACGAGCCCTATAGCAAAAACCTCTCCAAAA